GTCCACCAGGTCCCATCAGGCTGTTGGATGGTTTAATATTTCTGTTGAACCAGGATTCAGAACCAACGTCTTGATGTTCATTAGGTTTTATTTATTATTACTTTGGTCAGCTCATTTCAGTGACTGAAGCTGTAGTTCTCCTTCTTTGTGGCTATGGCTACACCTGAGGACGACTGTAGGTGTTAAATAAGGACAGCAGGTAAAACCAGGATGTACATGAAGAGGTGGAGAGGCTCCATAAAGGCTTCGTCATGCAGCTGAACGTCTGCATTCTGGTGAAGCTGTTGAACAGTTTTCTTCTTGCTGATGGTGCCATGTGGTTTTGCCGACCCTGCTCACTCCACGTGTCCCACAGAACCCCAGAACAGCCGTCTGGGTCGCCCACAGTCCACATCCTGCCTCCTTCTGACGGCCATGTTGGTTTCCTTCAACCTTCGAACCTCAACCAGACAGTTTCAGTTCCACAAAAACAGGCGACTTGTGGACGTTTCTCCACTTCTGTCTACTTTCCACGTGTGTTGGAGTTAATCTGAGAAGAGCACAAACCCTCTGAAAGATGGTGTTTATACGGTTTAGAAACACACGGAGCGCCGTGTAGCCGTAGTGGTGACGGGGATTATGGTTAATGAATAAAGGTCGCAGCTATGTAATCCATCAGCAGCGTTTTGGCTGCACCTGTTGGCCCGGCGGGCTGGATTTGGGTCAGATAGAGCGACTGGTGGGTGGTGCACTAATCGCTGATTAATTAAGGTGGATGCAGCCTTTTTATAAACAAACCCAGTGAATTCATCCGACTGCTGCTGACAACACGGGACGCTGTGGTCGTTATTTCATAGAACTGCTGGTTTGTGTCCTATAGAGCGGTGAGGAGTGTAAACCCCGTCCTGCTGCTGCTGCTGCTGCTGTATCCGGCGAGCTGCTCTTCCTCAGCTCTCACGTGCTCTGACTGCGACCTTCCCGCGGGCCGCTGCTTCTGTGACGGACTGATTCAGGCTGTGGCTGAGCGTGTTGGGCCTCATCGCTGCTCGCTGGATTCACCCAAATCCTCTGCAGAGCGACTCGACCTGCGGGCGGCGAGCTCGCTCTGCAGCCAACACCCAGCAGCTCTCAGTCAGCTGCAGCTCTGGATTTAGATGAGACGGCGGCTGGTCACCTGCCAGAGCGCTGACTGACAGCCGGGGAAGCCCTGCTCAGGAGGAGGAGCTGCTGCTTTATGCATCAGCGGCTCCGAGCAGCTCCGTGTCGTCACCGTTGTTTATGTTCCGGCTCGTGGACAAGTTTGTGTTTAACCTGCTGAACCCGAAGCGGTTTCTGGGTGGGTTTCTGCGCTGCTCTGACATCTTTACTCACTGTGGGCTCGTTTTTACTGCATCCATAGAAACAGCAGAACCAGGAGCAGACGGAGAGAAAATCAGAAGCAGCAGGACTCGGTGACATTAGTCCTGATCTCAGAACAAACACAAGGGGAATTTATTTCACTAAACAATAATAATAAAAAAGTTGGAATCCTGTGCTGAACACTCCTCCACAGGTGGTACCAACACATCCTACATACATTTTACTGTTTACATGTTAAATGCGTCTCCATGATTGTCTCCATCCTCTCTGCAGTGCTGCAGTTTAGCCAGAAGTCCCCACATTGTGTCAGAATTTTTTGTTTTTTACAGAATCTGATTTACTCTTTTTAACTTTTTTTTTTTCAAATGAAGCATTTAAAGTGATTTTGATTGTATGATAGATTTGCCGCCTCTGATTAGTTCCAGGACTGTTGTAAAGTCTTTTAAGACTTTCTTGAGGTGGATTACCTTTTCAGAGAGGACTCTGAAGTGGGGTTGTTGATGAACCCTCTAAACTCTTGTCTCTGTGTCAAAGCTACACATTTAGAATATTTCTGTTCTGCCTTAGAACATAGACAGAGCCCTCAGTTGCTTCTAATGTGAGCAAAGAGACCACGTAGACACCTTTTCATCAGATGACGTTAGCAATACTAAAAAGCATAATGAAACCACACAGAATCTAAAAGCTGGTGCATTCAGAGGTGATGATATGTCAGTACGGTGACCTGTGCTCGTCTCTGCTGCCGCCAAGTGGCCAAAACTGAAACAACACATTACTGCAGATTTCAAAATCATCCATCAACAGTGTTTTATAGATAGTCTGTCTGTACACATTAAACTTGTCAGTCCTGTTCTCCGGCTTCCTCCCACAGTCCAGAAACATGCTGAGGTTAATTGGTGATTGTAAATTGTCCGTAGGTGTGAATGTGAGTGTGCTTGGTTGTCTGTNGATGGATGTATTCAGAGCTTCTCTGTGTTGCTTCTTGAGTCCTGCACAAGTCAACATAGGGTTTGTGAAGACGGTGAATCAGAAGGCTGACATCAGTGTGTCTGTAGACTACCTGAACTCTTATCCAGGACATTTATGGAGACACTTTAAACCTCAATGAGTCTCTGATTCAGTCAGAAGAAGACTTTCCTCACACATTTTATGAATGCGCAGTGTTTAAATGTTGGTTGTAATTAGACTTCCCGTACTGCCTGATGCATGAATGCAGCTTTTCATACTGAACCGTTCTTCACATCAGAGGTCCAGACTGGTCCACACGTCCTGCAGCTCATCCCCACTTCGTCTCTGTGCCTCTCTGACCTCGTGCTGCTGGTGCTCGCCGGTCGATCGGCGTCTCCAGCACGTCTACGGCACCACTTTGTGATCATCTAAATGCCAGGAAGCGTACTGCTGTTACTGCAGGCGGCGATCTGCCCGATAAACAGAAATTAAATATTCTACATAAACAACAACATGAAAAACCAAAACGGGGAACAAAGCGGAGCTCGTCCTAGTTTCTCATTAGGAGAAAACAAAAGAGATTATTTGGACTCGGAGCAGAACAGCAGCAGGGCCAGATGTGGAGCTGCTTCCCAGCAACACGAGGAGACGCTGCAGCTGGAGCTCTGCAGACGTGATGATGAACGTGAACGTCCGACGTTGTGTGTGTGTGCCGCTGTTATTGTGCTATAATCCACTCTGACTGCACAGCGGCGGGGGGTCCTGCTTCCCATAGAGCCGGGGATGGGATTACACCGTGTCCAACACGGCTTACACACCAAACACAGTTCAAACCGCCGAAAGTTGAGACGTGCTTCCTGTGCGGCCTGGAGCCGGTCTCTGCTTACCGCTGGTGTTGGGAAATACAAACGTGTTTTTACGGATATGTTTACGGCACAGATGTGGGGTTTTTGCTGATGTTAGCGCTTTAACATCTGGATGGCAGAAATATTAGATGTGCTTCAGACTGAAAAGCCTCCCATTTAGTCAATGATGAGACATTTATCATCTTCAGAGGAAGATCAAGCAGTTTCCTTATTTCTACTCACTGTGGGCTCATTTTTCACCACAATATAAAATCCTCTGTTTGGGAACAGAGCTCTGGAGCAGAGAGAGGCCAGATTACAAAATAAATCCATAAAAGAATAATAAAATACAAGTGGAAATGTAAAGACAAATAAATACAACAATAAAAATAATGATATATATAGATTTTTATTCTTTATGAATTTTTATTGATTTATTGATTTCAATTTTTTTAAAGTCATTTCAAAAATTATTTGTTTATTATTATTATTTTAAATTTTTACATTTATTTAAATTTATTTTTTTATAATGTCACTTTAAAAGCAAAGGGAATATTCGCAGTAGGAATGTCATTGTGGGCAAACTTCCTTTGCTTAAATAAATTAAAAAAATTAAAATGAAAAAAAATAAAATTAAACAAATAAAATGTTGTAAAAAAACAATTAAAAAAAATTCTTATTATTTTAGTTATTTTATTTATTTGTCTTTATATTTCTACTTTTTTCAGCCTTTTCTTTTATGGATTCATTTGGGATTAATATTTCTTTATTTTGCCACATTATTTATTTTTTGTTTTATTTAATTTTGTTTTTATTTCCTCT